AAATACTCCCTCCTTGCTTCAAACACATTTATTTCATTGTTCTTGCCACTTTCTGAAACAGTTCTGGAAGTCCTCTTTCATAAATGGCTTTAGGTGTGTTGTCATGGATGCCTTTGTGTCCTGAATTGATTCTAACTGTTTACCTTTCATGGTCATTCTGGCATTGGGAAAGAGCAAGAAGTTGCACGTACAGTGGCCGGTCTGGTGAATGAGGTGAATAAGGACACATCGTAATATTTCTATGCGCCTTTCTGTTGAACGGCATATGGCAGCAGAATTCACCATATTATTGATCATAGCTTGTAAAGACACTCAGGAAAGAGGATTTCCAGAACAGTTTCAGAAAATGGCAAGAATGATGGGATAAGCATGTTCAAAGCTAGGAGGAGTATTCTGCAGGGGGTGCTAATACAATGTCTTTTACTATAATCAACTTTTTAAAATATAAACTCACTATATCTTTTTCCCCCTTCCCCTGGCTTCCCTTCAACCCCTCCACCCCTCCCTATTTACAGAGACTGTTTCCTTATTTTCATTTTTTCATATTAATTCCATTCCCTTCTTTCCTTTCCCCTACCCCTCCCACTTCCCCTTTGCCCCTTTTCTATTTCACATTATCTATCATAACTTTTAATCCTTATTTAAACCTTCAGTTTCTCACACTGGAGAAACTGTTTGGTAGTTACACATGTGTGTCCTATTTATCTCACTTAAGAGTATCGCCTCAATGTGCATCCATTTAGCAATAAATGTCTCTAATTTCTCATTTTTTATGACTGAATAGTACTCCATTTTAGTAAAAAAATAAACCCACATTTTCTTTATCCAGTTTCCAGTTGATGGACACTTGGACTGTTTCCAAACTTTAGCTATTACGAACTGTGCCGCTATAAACATGGGTGCACATATATCCCTGTGGTATGATTCTTTTAATTCTTTGGAGAAGATCCCCAGCAGGGGAATAGCTGGGTCAAATGGGACTTCCAGTCCTAGTTCTTTGAAACTCACTATATCTTGATCATACCTTGTGTATGTCTCTCTACACAAACATGTATATCTTTACAGACATATTAACACACGTGTATCATTTAGTATTTTTTTGGCCACCTGTTGCAGCATTTCTGTGAGATAGTTCTGATAGTATCTAAAAGCTATGAACATTTAGGACTATAACAGGAATGAGCAGATTACCCTCCTAAAATGGTGTTTTGATTCTGAGGGCTACAGTTATGGAGATTTGAGTGCTACTCCAATGATATCACTCATTCGAGCAGGATAGAAAGGAGCAGGTTTTGACAAATGACACGGATATCTTGAACTGGGGAGGTCTACGGGACATCTATCAAGCAGCGGGGCGATGGCTTTGAGGCGCTGATGAGAGGAGCTCTCCAGAGTGAATGATTTGGAAGGTGCCACACTTAAGGAAGAGGCTGCAAGCCTGGAGTGAGACAGCCCTGAGAGCAAGGAGACGAGGGTCGAGGATAGACGAGGGAAGAACTCCAGAGCAAGCCAGAGGAACTGGAAAGGACACAGCAGGAGAGACCGGAAAAGAGGCGAGAGACCAAGAAGACAGCCAGGAAGGGGAACCATCAGCTCAATAAGGGAAGAAAAAGTTCTGAGGAGCGAATGATCTCCATGCATGCTGATCTGTGCCCGATTTTACCGTTAAATGAAATGTGACCTAACAGTGTGTTCAACATGACACCACTTGTGAAATACAAGTTTACATATGCCTGATTACTTAAAGAAAATCTCCAAGAAGGAATAGGACCACAATGAGAAAACAAAAGTCTGTGGTATCTCTGAGAATTAAGAACAGAAGACAGGGGAATTTTAACTTTGTAGTTTACACTAATTTTTACAGCTTAAACGTATTATCATGAACATACACTGCTTTATTACTGATGTTTGCAAGATTGACTCAGCAGTGTGACATTAAATTACCGGAGAGCTAAGCTAACAGAGAGGACAGAAAAGATGAGATGCAAAGAGGTCATGTGTTTGGCACGCAGGTCGTCACTGGTGACTTCTACTAGAATGGCTTTAGGAAGGAATGGGGCAGCTAACCATACCCTAAAACACTTCTTCTCAAGCTTCCAAGAGTACAGCAATCAGCAGAGGATCCTGTTAAATACAGATTCCGCTTCTGCGGGTCTTCAGTGGAACTTGAGATTCCCCATTTCTACCAGGCTCTCACCTGACATTCATCGAGCTGGTCTGAGCATCACACGTTTGCATGATGATGTAATCAGAATGCAGGGACTGGATGTGAGGACCAAAAGGACACTGTTTCCTAAAGTTCCTCCTGGAATTCAGAAGTGCACCCTAATTTTAAAAAGAGCTTACAATCAAATAGATTTGGTATTAGGGTTTCATTGAGATTTTTTTTTTTTTGGTACTGGGGATCGAACTCGGGACCTTGTGCTTGCAAGCCAGGCGACGGAACCACTGAGCTAAATCCCCGGAACCTATTGAGAATTTTTTATTGGCTTTTTCCTCAGATCTTCTAAGGGTTAGAGCTAACCTTGTAGCACTGACAATGTATCTATCCCTTCCAACTCTGATGGTCCTGACAGGTTGTTCTAGAAGATGTGGGAGACCAGAAGTATGCGGCAGCAGGATGTTAGAGGTTAGAGCATTCTGTCTAATTCAACAACAGAGGTCTCTGAAAGGTGAGAAAGCTCTCAAAATAGACTGTTAGGGCACATGCACCAATCAGCCTTGGGCTCCTTGTTGGTGCCTACCATGATGCCATCGATATCCCCAAATCCATGGAAAATATTTCTAGCCCCTTGTGAAATGTTGCCCAGCATAGCATGATAGCTTCAAAGAGTATTACGACGAGCCAGCATATTTGTGAATGCAGCAGCTTGAATTTATTTATACCAAGAGCAGGAAACCCCAAAGCTGGCTTAACCTCCCTGCTGAGGGCAGTCACACCTGGCCGGGAGCACACACCTATTGTTCAGTGGCAGTGATTAAGGGCAGCACAGGGGAGGTCAGGCAGCACAATCCCTTCACATCTGAGGAGATGGTGCAGGTGAGACCAGGAGGAACCTCAGAGCTCAGACAACCTGCAGGCGGCTCTGAGTCATCTGCACAGGGCCTGCGGTGCCTGGCTGCCCCAGAATGGCCTTTGAGAGTCTCTCCACACAGTGCGGCTGACTGGGGAGATTGAGTGGGGAATTGGGTTTCAAAGGACCCCTCGGGGCAGGGGAGAGCAGGAGTCACTCACCCTGGCGTGCCTTCATCTTCTGAAGACTGCCACTGTCTCCTCTACCTTCTAAACTTGGCAGCAGAGGGTTCGAGCCATATGGGGCAGCTTGTTCACGGATCTGAATGACCCCAAATTGGTCACAAAAGATGTTCTGAAGCCTTTGCGTTCACAGTTGCAGAGTTGCATTCCTTTAGCTCTTCATCAGACACCCGGTCTGTCATTTCCAGCTGCTGTACTTGTCTCTCAGGGAAGGGAATCAGCCTGCAATGTTCCCTTCGCTCTCAGCCCTCAGACTTACTTACTTGTGAGAATAAACCTGTTTGAACAGCACTCTGCACACAGTGATTATTTCAGGAACATGAAGGGATGCATTGGAGATGCCCAACTGCTGCAGCCCCCCGGGGACCAGGGGTCATTTGTATTAATGCTATGTCCCTGCAGGATGCAGGCTTCTTCCTTGTCAGCACCCATGGCAAAAGAATTTAGATTAGTTTTAATATTCACTTAACAAACACACATCACACCATTAAGTTTGTCTTCAAATACTCTCCCTATCACATACACACACAGTATATTTCAAACTCTTCAGGAGTTATTTGGGAAATCAAAAGTCAATTACATCAGCCCCCACATTGTGCCATGTGTCTAAGCTGCCAGTAACCATACAGCAGAATTACCTTTCTAGTGTCATTCCTCTGGGTAACCCTTCACACACCATGTGCTAATTTTAAAGAATTCAGACCCTAGCTTCCAATCTATAATGAGAAAGATTATGCCCTTTGTTTTTATGAAGCACTCCATTTGCCACTAGCATCACAGAAGTTCGCAGAGTCACAGGAGAGTGGTTGTACCCTAGGAATCATTTAGCTCCCCAAGGGGAAATCCTTTTAAAGAAACACACGGTCATTTAGAAGGGTGGGAAGGGCCCTGGAGTGAAGCACATTTAGGATCTGTTTTAAAGTTCTTTCTGGTTGTCCTCTACTCAGTTCTCTGTCTTCCCCCAAAGTGGTCCTTTAGCAAAAACAGAGTAAGCAGATCCTCTTTTGTTCATGACTCTGAGTCCTTTCCTGAATTCTGCGATCTAACTGCAGTCGTGTGTGGAGGATCACTGGGGCTGGACAGCCTCCTGGATGTATCCAGGGTCTGGAAGCTAAATACTGACTTTCACACTCTTCATTTGGAGACTTCATCTCATTTTTTCTCATAGGGAGGTTATACTGACCAGGTTAAAATCATGCTAAGTTATAAGTGACTTTAAAAATTAATTTCACCTTATAGCTTGCTGAGGTACAGTACAAACAGAAACTTGGGTACCTGTCTTTCCAGACCACCTAAGACACAAGGATCCTTCCTAATCGAGATTCAAATAACTTGCTTCTTAGGTAACAGAAAGAATGGAGCTGAGTTCCACCTGGCTCATTTAAGGAAGGCCTCCCCTTGCTGGCCAAACGCTAACGGTGGGTTTCAGCTTGGAGGGACATGGCTGCTGCCTCTCACTGAGGAGGTGGGCAACCGAAACCGGAACCAGGAGATCCCCAGGAAAGCATCCCTTTCCAAGGGAGGAAGCTCAGCCTGGGAATAACAAGAAGGGCGCACTCCCTCCATTCCAGAACCTCAGGAGTGCCCACGAACCGGTCTTCCCTGGGGTGCTCGTGGGACCAGCTCGGTGACAGCCGCAGGGCTGAGCCAGAGGCTCAGAGGCCTTCTGCCACCACCCCAGAGCACCCAGAGGGGGAATGCTAAGCAGGCGACCCCGCTTCAGTCGGGAACGCTGCCACTTTACCTTTCTGCTTATTGAGGAGCGGCAGAGGGGGCGCGGTGCCAGGACCCCGCATTCCGGGGCCCGCGCTGGCCGCCGCGCTGAGGCCGGAGCTCGTGGTCTCGGGGGCCGCGGGCGCAGGGGCTCCGTCTCCGTCTCCGGGGGGCGGCTGGAGCCGGGCTGGGGGCGCCCCCGCGGGGAACCGGAAGGGGCCCCGCTCCTCCGCCGGGCCCCGCTCCTCCGCCAGGCCCCGCGGGCTAGGGGCGGCCGGCTCGGCCCGGGTGCGAGGCTCCTCGCGGACAGGGACCAGGCCCGGGGCCCCTGGCCGGACGGGGGGCGAGTCCTGCTCGCGCTTGGGGCTCTCCTCCGAGGCCGAGGAGGCGTCGCACGACTCGAGGATGAGCTCGCTGTCCAGCTCGGCCTCGCGCTCCTCGCGCAGGATGCTGTACTGCGCCGACGCGGGCGCGGACGGCGAGGCGGGCGACGGGGGGGGGCCGCCCACCGGCCCGAAGCTCGCGTACCCCGCGGGCAGCGCCTCCTCGCCGGCCAGCGGGTCCTCCGACACCAGCTCGATCTCCGAGTCCCCCGACTCGGCGCTGCTCGCCTCGTGCTCCAGGGGGCTGGGGACGGCGGGCGGCCCCGACCTGGCCCGGGCCTCGGGGCTGCTGGCCGCCTGGCACACCGGCCGCGGGCCCTCCGCCGTCTCGTAGGACAAGCCCTTTGCTTCCTTGATGGCAGTGATGAGCTCGTCCTCGGAGATGCCGCCCTTCCCCTGGGACTCGGCAGCAGATGGTTCTGTCGTCCCACAGAAGGAAGGAGAGCCAGAGGCGCACACGGACAGACAGATGGACAAAGACAGAAGAAATAAAACAGAATTCCATTAGGGAGATGTTTTGCTGTTGCTTGACAAACACAACTGTCATTAGCACAAAAAGAGTCTGTTTCGAGGCCTATGTTGGAAAGACAGGCCACCTGAACTCGAAGGCTAATTACTGCTGTGGCCCAATTAATAGCTGCTTTGCATGCCTATCCGTCTTAATCTAGCTATTTTTTAAAAAATGACCCAGCAATTTCTTAGCAACAGAACCCCAGCTGGTTTTCCTGTTTTAGTGCAGCCAAGATTTTAGAAGTCACTGTTTTAATTTCTGATTCATTCCCTCGGGGGAGCTTTTCAACTTCATAGATTTCATCAGATCATCTGGTGTATATATCTCCAACTGGGTCCACTGGTATCAACAAATCTAAGAGTCAACCGTTACTTACTTAGTGTTCATGTTTTCTTCTTTTGTAGGACAAAAGTAATTTGGAGCCTTGGTTGCATCTTGACTTTGGAGCTTTACATTTCCGCTAAGAATCTCTATTATTGCTCTTTTTAAGTAGAAAGTACACCTGGGGGGGGGGCAATGTAAGAGATAGCTTTTTCCTGTTCCACCAACAGGCTGTACAGATGGCCCCAATGCACCATCCCACAGGGCTTCTGACAGGCGCCCACTGCCACTCTTCATCTCTCCACACACACACACACACACACACACACACACACACACACACACCCTTAAGAAGAGCAGAACCCAGGAGTCACCTCCAGTCCCTTGGGTGAGTGCCTGCCTGTGCCTGGTGTTTATCCAGATGGCCTGAAGGGTACACCGGCAATCTTGCTGAGCTTTCTCTCCCTTGGATGAATAGACCTGGGATCACCATGACAACAGTGTTCAGGAGCTTAATTTTTGCCTTGCCATAGAGCAGAGCCTTATTTCAGAATATTTCCACAGTGGTCTCTGGTCTCTCATGCATGAGAAGAACTGGTTCCCAAAGTTTTCTCCAAAGTGTTAAAGTCACTGAGGGGATCTAGGGAGCTGAGAGGAATCGATTATACATGCCTAGGTCACTTGTTGCCATAGATTTGTGAGAGAACAGCGAATCCAATGCATAAAACATTTTACATGTTTCTAATATTCTATAAAGTGATGCTAACCACATATCATTCATCTATTATTGTGAGTCTTCCGTGTGTTAGGCCCTCTTCTATGAACTTGGGATATATTAGTGAGTGAGACGGACAACAAGGTCCCTGCTTGTATTCTGGTGGTGGGAACACAACACATCAACAACATAAACAATAAATAAGGAAAATGTACAGTGTGTTAGGAGATGGTGAGGCTATGCGGAAAAGCAGAGTTGGGTAAGGGAAAAGGGAACATTTGGACAGGGCGGGATGAGTCAAATGGATTCATGAAGAGGAGACCCTGTGGTCAGCACGTGAACGAGGCAAGAGAGTGATCAGGAAGCTATGCAGATGGGAAGCTCTCCAGGCGGAGGGAGCGGCTAGCCACAGGTCTGGAGGTGGGAAGGCCCTGATTTCTAGATGTGGACAGGAGGCAATTGTGACTGGGGGGAGGAGCCAAAGAGGGAGAGTGGGAGAAGAGGTCAGAGACAAGGCAGCATCAGGCCTCAGGAGGCTTCTATTCTGAACAAAAAGAGAAGTTCTTAGGAGGGTTTGAGAAATGATGTGATCTATTTTGCAGTGACTTACGACAACAACTACTTCATTACCTGTCACAAATTCATTTTTAGCTCCTTAATAAGCCATGCTCATGGTTCTTTGCTATGATCTTAAACAGAATAACTAAGTTACATCAGCTTTCTTCTGAAGGGTGGGCTACTGCAGGGAGGACGGGAATGGAGCCAGCATCCACTAAGGAATGCTCTGGACCTCCTGAGCACTAGAAGTGGCAGCAGGTCACAGCGGCATCTGTGTCTGCTGGGTGACAGACCCTTTGCATGTGGAGCTTAGACTGTAGTGGCAGTAGGTCAGGTGAGTCTGTCTGTAGGGTCATAGTTTTCCCTCTTGCCGCCACTGTGGATTCAGTCTCATCTTTCTGTGCCCTGTTCTGTGTTCTGAGAGGCTTATCTCCTCTGTAAAAGGTGCCCTGGGATCCCTTCCCCCCTGGTTTCTGGCTGTTTCCAGCCAACTGGAAACACCGAAAGATAGGCGGGAGATGTTTACGGCCACTGCTGCTTCCAAAGCTCCTGCGCTTGGCAGGTTTAGCAATGCTTTCCCCTCCCTGCCCTTCTTCCTTTAGGTCTAGGGGTGTTAATGGTTCTCTGATGTGGTCTTCACCATCATTTGCTGCTTCTTTAAGCCATCTTTACACATCTGCAAATAAAGTCCTTAAATTCTTCGGTTACAACCTTTGCATGTATCACTGGCTTTCTGCCCAGGCCTTGAACTACCTGCCCACATGGCTAGAAATAGTGTGGCTTGAACTTAAACTCATGCATTTCTGTTCCACGTGCTCTTCACTATATCATGCCTCCCCTGTTTTAAAAGAAAGAGGGGTCTGACATGGGACCAGTTATAGTTTGGAGAAAGAGAAGGAGAAGAAAAGTGAACTGGATAATCACATGCAGAAGCAGGAAGCTACGCCTCTGCCCACATCATATTCAAAACCATAGTTCAGTTGGATCCATGACATCAGTAAGACCTAACAACTTCAAACAAAAACGTAGAACTAAATTTTCATGACCTTGAGGGCTGGGGATTTAACTCAGTGGTTTCCCTGCTTGGCACAAGGACCCAAGTTGGATCCTGGCACCAAAAAAAAAAAAAAAAAATCTTCATGACCTTGAATTACACAATGTGTTCTTAGGTGTGGCACCAAAAGCAAACAACAAAAGAGAAACTGATAAACTTACCTTCATAAAAATTAAGCGTTTTTGAGAACTGAGGCTATAGCTCAGTGGTACAGAGCTTGCCTAGCATGCATGTGAAGTTAACCAATTTTGTTCGTCACAGGATGGAATCAAGAAAATTAAAGCAGCATCCACAGGATTGGGGAAAAAAGCTGCAAATCTCATTTCAGAGAAAGGGATTGTATCTAATAAAAATACCCCAAAATTACAAAAAGACAACCCAGTTAAAAATTGAACAAAGGACTTGAATAGGTAGTTCTCCAGTGAAGATGTACAAATGGACAAAAGGAACATGAAAATATACTCAGCATCATTAGTCACCAGAGAAATGCAAATTCAAGCCAGAATAAAATACTGCTTCATATTCGCTTTGATGGCTATACTCAAAAAGTCAGATAATGACAAATGTTAAAAGGAATGTGGAGAAATCAAAACCTCCATACACAGGAATGAAAAGTGGCATAATCATTTTGGAAAAAAATATCTGGCAGTTCCTCACACATTTAAACACAGAGTTCCGTATGTCCCAAGTGTCTCATTCTTAGGTATCTATCCAAGAGAAATGAAAGCATATGTCTACACCAAAACTTGTACATGAATGTTTATAATACCATTCCTCACTATAGCTTTCCAAAGTGGAAACAACCCAATGTCCCTCAACCAATGAATGGGTACAAAAAATGTGAAAAATGTGGTATATCCTTTACAGTGGAATATTATTTGGCCATAAAAAGGAATGAAGTACACAAAATGATAAAGCATGACTAAACCTTGAAAACAGTGTTTTAAATGAAATAAGCCAGCCACAAATCACCATATGATTCCACTTCCATGAAGTGTCTAGAATAAACAAATCCACATAGACAAAAAACTAGATTAATGGCTGTGGGAAATGGGGAGACTCAGGGTGGCCAAAAGAGGTCAAGAAACCCCAAAGGGTTTCTTTAGAGGTAGTGAAAATTCTGTAAGTTTAAGGTGGTGACATCACAACTTTGTGAACATGCTAAAAACCATTGAAACAAATTCTTGTAATGTGTCAGTTACAGGGTTTGTGGATTATATCTCAATAAGCATTGTAAAAAATAAAAGAAAAAATGGAAGAAGGCTTCACTCTGAACCTGCACTTATGGAACTGCCCAACCTACATTATACCATTTGTGAGAAGCGATTTTATTTATGTTAAGCCACCAAGATTTGAGGATTTATCTGAATCTGAATGAATATACTATATCGATCTGGATTCTGCCTTAACTGCTGCCTCAGTTCACTGGTGATCTCTAGGTCACCTCTGAGTTCTCATCCTCTGTGACTTCTCAGCTGCCATATGTGACATCTTATCCTTCCTCCTCCAGCATCTGCAACACTGTCATTCCTCTCCTCTTCAGATTTTCCCCCTAACTCTCTGATCTCAGCCACCTTAACATGTTTTTCTTTGGCGTTTTTCTTTTGTTTTGTTTTGTTTTGTGTTTTGAAGTAGTGCCTTGCTACGTGGTCCAGATTAGCCTTGAACTTACTATCTGTGTAGCTCTGGCTAGCTACAAACTCGTGATCCTCCATCCTCAACCTTGGGAATGCTGGGATTGTAGCCATGAAGTACACCCCACCCAGCCCACTCAGCCACCTTGTAAGCCATGCACCACTCTTTCCAGGCACTAAACGTTGGCCTCCCCGGAGCTCTGCCTGGGCTCTCTCCTCACTCCCTCCATCCAGAGTGATTTCTCTACTCCCACGACCACTAGTCTCAATTACCACCACCGTGCTGATGACTGACAACTTTCTCTGTCCTAGAGAATAAGAAGAAAACAGGACAAAATAGACCAAGTGGTACACAGTTCCAGGGTAGCTTAGCGGAGGTAACTGAGGAACTTTCATTTGAATTGGTCTTAAAATAAATGGAGACTTGAAAGGCGGCCATTCCCCACGAAGAGGGAGCTCCCCAATCAAAGAAACAGAAGTGGAAAAGACAGGGCCATGTTCAAAGAACGGCTGTGTCAGCAGGGTCACTGCAGAGTTGTGGACAGGATCTTGAGGAGTGTGACTGAAATGGTGAGCGGGTCCCTGGTCCTTGAAGGCCTTGGAGATTATTGTAGAAGCCAGAACTT